TTTGAGATGTGTATATTCTTTTGCAATCCCATTTAGAAGATGCCACAAGTTTTTTAACTCTAGTTTCTTCAGCAATTTTTTCAGTTTCATATTTTCTCTTTTGTTTATCTTTACGCTAGACTTATCAAAAACTGCTACTGAAGTCTCTTCTCACTATTGTGTTACTGCCTGTGTCTTTTGGTAACTTAGTTACTATTTCCTTTATGAATTTGGATGCTAAGGCATTTGGAATGTACAAGTTCATTAGCAATATTGCTTTGCTGTCAATGATTCTTTTCAGAATAATGTAGTTTCCTTTTTTATCTCCGTATTTTTTTAATGTTCTTTTTGCCTTGAGAGGATGATTGCAATTCCTGCTTTTTTGGATCCACTTGATGCCTCACAAATTTTTTTTCCATCCCCTCAGTTTAATTTGGTGTATGTTTTATTTTTTAAATGTGTTTTGTGTAAGAGATTGTAGAATATTGTTACCCAAACTGTCATTCTTTTTGTATTTTATTGGATTGTTTCACCCATTTACATTTAAAGCTATGAGAATTAACTCCTGATTCTCTTCTCCTATTTGTTACCCTTTCTCCTTTGGGGTTTTGTTTATTAGTTCCTTTTTCTTTCATGCTTTTATCTGGTTATTTAAATCTTCTTTCCTTTTTTCTTTCTCCAGTCAAATAGATTCTGTCTTCTTTTCCTCCCCTTTAACTAGTTCTGTTCATTAATATTTTTAATTCATATTTTGTTTCCCTTCTAGAAAAAAATTTCTCTCACTCTCTTCATTATCTATCCTCTCTATCTACTTTGGTAGTAGATAGAAGTAGTGGATTCATTCTCTGGTCCTTGACCTTTATAATTATTCAGTGTCTTTCTATTATCTGTATTCTTCATGAAATCAAGATTTCAGATATATCTATTCTGGCCTCTTCACTATTAACTCCACCTGACTTCTTTCTTCACTCCTGTCTCCCTGTGTACATTTAGAAAGTCTCTTATTGATCTTTGCTGTCACTCTGTGGATGTTGCTATCCTTGGCTGTTTCATTCAGTCACCCCTTCTGCATTTCTGGTGTCTGGGGTCCTTGAGAAGCATATAATCCCTTTAGGTCTGTTTTTCTTTTTAAGACATTTTAAAGAATGTTGCCAATGTCTCTATTATTGCATGACCATCTTTTTTCCATTTATAGTTAATTGAAGATTTTCAGGGTAGTTTTACTCTGGGCAGCATCCTGAGCTCCATTGTTCTTTAGAACACATTATGCCAGATCCTCCTATATTTTATGGTGGCAATAGAACAGTCTCATTATTCACATTTCCTTTCTTTTGTGTTTGAAAGTCATTCTCCTAATTGCTTGAATAATGTGTTTCTCAATTGAATTGTTAAGTTTAACCACTATGTGTTTTGGAGTTTGTAGCCTTGATTTTTTTTTTCCTAGAGGCGATCTATGAATTTTTTTCAATTGAGTTTTCATTTTCTGTGTTCAGAAGTTTTGGGAAGGTTTCTTATTTTGTTTCTTGTATTATGATATTCAGACTTTTTTTTTTTTTTGACCTGTTGTGTGTTTCTTGGAGACATGTGATCCATAGGTTGTCTCTAGGCATCCTGTCTTCCAAATCAGTATGTTTTACTTGGATAGTGAGCATATTAAAAAAAAAAATTTGGCTTCTCTTCTTTTTTCATTTCTGTGTCTTTGTATCCCCAGTTTATTTATCTCTTGGTTTTTTTTTTGTTGTTGTTAAGACTTGTCATTGCAGATTCAATTTTTTTTCTCTTCTGTCCATCATTTTTACTGTGCAGGTCATTAATCCTGCTCTCACAGTTCTCATTTCTCTTGGAAACCACTCAGGAACAGCATGTCATAATTCCATGTTCTCCTTACATTCCGCAGGATACTCTGTCTCATTAAGGGTTATTTTGTTTTCCTTAGTTTTACAGCATTTATTCAGAGATGACTGAATTAATTTACTAAGACTAAAGTCCATATTTCCTTCTGTTGTTAATGCTTTTCCTGTGGATTTATCTGTTTATGTTCAAGGTCTTTTGATTTTCTTCTTCCTGAGCTCTTTGGTAATTTTGGTCGTTTCCTCCTTTATTTCTCCCTATTGCTCATTTTCTAATTCCCTCCGGTCTGGTGGTGGTTTCCTTGGGGCCTGGATCTCAGAGCATTTCAGACTGCTTCCATGTTGGACATTCATGGTTCACCAGCCTACATCTCTGCCTCAGGTTACTTTTGGTGGGACAGAACTGACCCCAGCTGGATACTGGGCTCTTTTCTGAGTTCTGCACAGCTTTCCCCCTTTACATGGTTCCCTGTCTTGGTATTCTGCCCATTCCTCTGTTCCTCAGTTATCTTCTCTTGCACCAGTAGTTCAAAGAATCTCAATCAGTGCTATGGAGTTGATACCTACAGTTCGGGTTTCCAAGGCTCTGGGAGGAGAAGGGGTTAGGGTGTGGGGTTTATTTCTATATCAAGGCCAGAAACTTGTGCTTCCACTTTTCCTCTTTTCCTCCCCTCTGTTGCAAAGAACTGTTGCAGCCCAGAATGCTGCCACTGCAGTGCTGGTATCTGAGCATCATAGCCTGAGCAGCATAGCCTGAGCAGCATAGACAAATGAGTAAACAAATAAATGTCTTGGACTGAAAATACCATCTTAACTTTGGATCTAATTTTATTGACTAAAAATGGCTACCTATGTCCCTGTCACCCTTAAAACCTGCTTTGCTAAAATCTGTATTATTAGTGTAGATGCTCAGCCTGAGCAAAATTATAAGGGACTATATGAGGATTCTTTGTTTACATGCTAACGGGGAAGGAGAGAAACAAGTGTGTTCTCAAGGCCCTATTGTTTCAAGGTCTGTAGAGAAAGTTAAATAAAATAGTTAAAGGGTCTATATGGGGGGGGGAACCTGCAGCCTCCAGGCCACATGAGGCCCTCTAGGTCCTCAAGTGTGGCCTTCTTACTGAATCTAAACTTCACAGAACAAATCCCCTTAATAAAAGGATTTGTTCTGTAAAACTTGGACTCAGTCAAGAGGCCACACACAAGGCCCTAGAAGGCCACATGTGGCCTCAAGGCCTTGGGTTCCCCACTTCTGGACTCTAAGGAGTGGTTTGGGTCTGTTTTGATGGTTTTGGGAGAAGCAGAAAATGGGAGGGATAGGTGAATATATTAGGGGGAAGGGAAGAGGAAAGGGAGGGAACTCCGGGGGAAAAGGAAGAGGAAAGGGAGGGAACTCATTCTCTTCATAATTCGCTATCTTTGTATTAGATGATGAATATAAAAATATGAAAGGAGGGACAGGGAAATAAGCATCACTGACTTTCATTTGAAACAGACAACAATGGTTAAGCATGTTTTTTATTTTTAGCTCTTTGCTGCATTTTTTTCTTTGACCTGGAAGCTCTAGATGTTGGCAATAACATTCTTGGGCATTGTAATTTTAGGATTCTTTTCAGAGGTGAATAGTAGATTCTATTTTCTTTGCATGCTGGTTCTAAGAGATATGGGCAATTTTCATGTATGATTCAAAAAAATATGATACCTGCACTTTTTGATTGGGCATTATTTTTCAGGTAGTCTAATGATTCTTTGATTATCTCTCCTTAACCTGTTTTTCAAGTCCATTATTTTTGAGGTTATGTTTATTATATTTTCTTCTGTTTATCACCCCAAACTTTGGTTTTGTTTGAATATTTCTTGTTGTCTCATAGAGAGTTGGGTTTTTTTTTGTCCCATTTTAATTTTGAGGGAATTGAATTCCTTAAGTAAGATTTGTCATTGTCTGTTCTAAGCTATTAATTCTCTTCCCTAGGTATTGCATTTTTTATTCTTGTTTAATTTCTTCCAGGTGCTTATATAGTTCTTGTGGCCAAGCATCCTTTTCTTTGAAGCTCAACTCTGATTTATTGTGGATTTGCTCTCTTCTGGTCTCACCTCTTGGCCATCTTGAGTAATTGTAGTCCATATTGGAACCTAAAATATCATTCAATTTCCAGAATCCTTGATCTTGTGACATCTACACTAATAATACAGGTTTTAGCAAAGCAAGTTTTAAGGGTGACAGGGACATAAGCAGCCATTTTTATTCAACAAAATTAGATCCAAATTTAAGATGGTATTTCAGTCCAAGGCATTTATTTGTTTGTTTGTTTGTTTACTCATCTATCTATGTATCTATCTATCTGTGGTGTCGGACATTTTCTTCTGTTTACTTAGATCTTCATCCTCAGTTTTTGGAATCTGGGATATGTGCTTGGGTTAAAGTGCCATGCCTATACTCTTAGATGGTATTGTACTCTTGATCTTGAATTCAGAGGTTGAGAAGATCCCATTCCGCAGAAATTTTCTGCTCTTGTTCCACTCTGTGATTTGGGCCAAAGCTGCCTAGGTAGTGGGTTTTACATAAGCTTCCTAGATACAGATAGGTGTATTACCTACAGGCTACTCTTGCCTTGTCTTTGGCCGTGGATGGGGTCCCTGTGCTAGGTCTGAATAATGGTCTCTCCCTTTCTTCTTCTAAGAATGCCTTTTGGTTGCCTGTGCTAAACACTACTCCAGCCCCATCTACTGCTGTGGGATCAGGCTGTTTCATATTTAGTCACCCACCTCCCATATCTTATCTCCCCTACATACTTCCATAGGATTCTGGCAGTCTTTTCTTTTCCCAGTCCTGGACTGAATGGAGGAGTTTGTAGCTGATTTTTCTTTCTTTTGTTTACTATTTTCCCTTCTGGTTCATTTTAAGAACATCACTGGGGGGTTGATAGGGATCTGGGCTCCTCTGGGTCCTTAACATGTCATCCTCTTTGCACAGTTCCTAGGCTATATTATTTTAACAGTAGCTTGAAAACTTGTACCCTTGAACCTTACATTTCTAGATATCATTTGAAAGAAACTAGTAAGCCTGTCTGAATCACCAGGCTGCAATACAAGCCTTCATATCATCTATATGTTAAAAACAAAAGTTTGAAAATTCAGTGTTCCCCAAGTATAAAAAAGAATGAAGGAAAATTGCAATTAAGCCATTTTATTATTTTCATAATTTGTAGTGAAAAGTTCTCCAACATCAGAGGGAAATGATGCAAATAATGCACAGCTGATATACCCAATGTTTTTCCCATTTTCACTGCACTTTGTATGTCTTTTAGATGGACCTAACTGAAGACGTGAACCTTCTCGTTTTATTGGTAACTGCAGTGAAACACAATCTATTTTAACATCTAAAAGTGTAAATTATTACTAGTACAGGAAGGCAATAGACATAAAATAAATTAAAAGCATCTTTAAAGTTTCTTTCCATTTACAAATATATATAGAATTGCAGCAAACTGTACAAGCACAAAATTCTTAGTTAAAACATTTACAAGAACTTGTGTGTTTTTGTTGTTATTGTTTCGGTTTATAGGAGATGATGTCATTTAATTTTCCATCAACTACATTAAAATAAAATCTCCATGAAAAATACATAAATGTCTGCTTATTCCATGCTTTCTCACTGATCAATAGCAGAAGCAATTTAAGACATTTTCCTAGCTCAGGACATTCTTTAAATCAAGCCTTGGCTCAGGAAGAAACTATTGTACAGGCATTAGTTACTCTTTGTTAGACAGGAGTATAAGTTACTCATTAATGAACCACCAGAATATGGAAAAATGAAAGCACATAGACTACATAAATGAATAATATGGGTATTCACAAAATGTTATATTGATACATAGGTCTTCTATATGACAATTGCCCAGGAGATTAATACATGATTGACAATAGACACCTTTATTCAGAAATAGTATAAAGGAAAAATAAAGCTTAAGGTTAAATGTCTGTCACTTATATCTAGTTAACTAGAAATAAATTTCTTGGGTTATCATGGTCTCTATTAGAATCTAAAATCCCAGTTCAGTCTCCAAAATGCTGGATCTTGTGACATCTACACTTCTAATACAAGTTTTAGCAAAGCAGGTTCTAAGGATGATAGTGGCTCAGCCATTTTTACTCAACAACATTAGATCCAGATTTAAGATGGTAGCAAAAGAAGTCCCTGTGGTAGGTGATGACCCTGGTTCTTTGGCAATAATCTCTGGGAGGCAGCGCTGGAAAATGTGCATTGGAAAGGGTGCTGAACTTGGTGTCAGTCACAGGACCTGAGTTCAAATCCTAACTCTTCTACTGACCACCTGAATTATCTTGGGCATATATCTTAGTATCCCTGGCACTTAGTTTCTTCATCTGTAGAATGAGGGAATTGGATTAGTTGGGTCTCTGAATCCTTTTGAACCCTATACTCCTGTGAGACAGACACAAGTCTTTGGGAAACTACAAGAATGGTATGGTTGATATGGAGGTAACTTCAGTAATAATCACAACTCCTCCCCTCATGATCATACTTGAAAGTTTTCAGAGCACTTCCCTCATACTAACCCTGTGAGGCAGAGAATATCCCAAAGAATGTCCAGGATCCTAATTCATCAGCTGATGCCTTGTTGTGTGTGAGATGAAACACCCTTGTGACACTCCCAGGTTTTGCCCTTTCAGTAGACTCCTGACCAGACTCCTCTACCTCAGCTCTTCAGGAAAGACCTGTGATTGCGGCAGTGTGCCCTGGTCCTTAATTGTGTTTAAACGTCTGACCTACTTAAAAATGAATATTGGCTGGATTGGGGGGGGGGGTGAGGAGGAGAAATTGTTCTTAAGAACACATTTCCTTCATTCTGTCTCCTGCTCACCCATGGGAATTGCAACCTTCCCAAAAGGCCCTGTCACAGCTATCATACACCTTTCATCTTGTAGAGATAAAAATGATGGGGATGTTTATAAACTACCATTGGTCAGATCCTATTACAGTAAATTCCAAAAGACTGTCAAAATTCCTTTCACTCTGTGGGAAACTGGTCATGCTAAGTGCTGATTAAAATAAATGCTCTATCATCTGGGACAGATAGTTTTACATAGTTGGGGATTTATTTGGATTTTAGGGGCTGTTTGGTAACTGGCTTTGACTTCTTGTAAGAGGAGAAAGTGCAAGTCATTTATTCTAGCCATAAAACCATTCCTTTTATGTGTCTACCCCCATAAAAGCTTAGAGATAACCAGATTCCCAAACAAGACTTCAGACCTGAAAAGATTCCAATATTTGCTCTGCGTTTACCATCTCAAGCTAGAAGCCCAGGGACATACACCAGCCCCTTTCTATAATAACTGAACCTGAAGCACTTTGGTCAAACCTACTTAATATCAATTGTCTCTACTATTGCTTTCTTGGATTCAGTTTGATAGAGTGGCCACTAACACATTTCTGGCGTGCACCATTGCTCTTGCCTTGAAATTTGTAATGATGTTTCTTTAAAATTTGCTCTTCCTTTCTTCATCTCTTGAAAGATTAAATTGATGTCAGAGAAAAATGAACTATATTTTCCACAAATAAATAGGCACTCTTATCTATTTATTACCTGGAACTGTCTTTAAACTCTTCTGATATTTATATAGGGACAGCACATAAGCGTATCAGCCTTCATATACACCAAGGAGCCACTTTACAGTAACCTTCAGTGGGGAGTTTCTAGTTATTCACAATGCTATCTGAACACACCTTCCTTTCACTACATTCCAAAGCACAAGAGAGATCAGCATATGTTTTACAAATATGGGTATTTGGAACTAACCCAACTCATGTAGTACACATGAAATAACCAGAATCATAGACTGTAAGAACTAGAAGAGCTTTTGAGATTACTTGGCTTATCCCATTCCCCCTCATTTTAGAAACGACAAAAGAGGTCAAATGATTTGCCCATGTTAAATAGGTACATTAGTGCCCAGAACACAGCAGACTTTTATTTAATTCACTGAACAGATGAGTACATGGATCAACTTGGATCATAAAAAGGCTGAGATGGTTCTAGACCTCAAATTCTTTTAGTCCAGTGCTTTCCCCACCATATCTTGCTGCTTCTCATAGGTATATTTTTCTCTAATTGGCCAACATAACTGAATGAAAAACACTTATCAAGCACCTGTGATGTGCCAGACACTGGGTCTACACAGTCAAAAATGAGACAGTCTAGGGTCTTATATTCCAATAGAAGGAAACAATAAAAGGGAATGTGGTCACTGAAGGGAGCATTTTTTTCCTAGGGGCTCACAGAAATGGTGAACAGAGCAATGGGGCAGGTCATTGTCTTGCTCTTTACAGAAGCAATGGTGGGTAGAATAGATTTGACTACTCTTCCTGGAGTAAGAGGTGGAAAATGTGTTGGGGTGGAGGCAGGCAGGGGAGTAGAGATGGCAAGATGTGCCAAGATGTGTGGGTGGATGCATATGAGGCATGGTCTGGGGTCCTTTGGAAGGACTACATGATAAATTTTGTGCCTACTCACTCACTGGCCAGTCAGTAAATGCCAGTGCCTAGCACATGGTAGCCACTTAATAAACCCTTGTTTCCTTCCTTCCAATCAAGCCCATCCTCAGGGCTCAGTTCCAGAGTGAATAATTTACAGATGTAATCTTAGACCTTTTATGCAGCACAATTTTTTAAACTGATTGATGGGTAACTCTCTAGCCAATGACAAGAATGCTCTTAACCTAGAAAGGTGCTAGGTGCTAGGGATACAAACTTAACATTCTCTGCCCCAGGCAAGCTGACTGTTGCCTAAAGGGCATCCCCTGTGATGGTACAAATAGGTGACTTCTGATTGGCCGAGAGACCACTGACCCAATAACCTATGGAGAAAGCTAAAGAAGAGACAAGGCAGGAACATTTGAATGGCTCAGTGGAAGTCCCTGGAGCCATAGCCACGTGGGGAAAGCTCCCTGTCCCATATGTCCCTTGATTTCTCCTCACCTCCTCCCACATCCCTAGAGATTGTTAAGTGTAACTCTCCAGTGAGATTATTCTCTCCTTGATTTATTTGAGATTTTTATCTTGCTTCAGAGTTCAAAAGCTCATTTACTCTTGTATATTATACCCCAACCTGTGTAACTCTTCCAATTTCTATTTTATGGCTTACTTGGATAAATATGTTTGCTCAATATCTGTGATTATCTTTTGTGTGCTAAGTGTTTGATGAGAGGGAGCTAAGCTGTTCCAGAGTACGCTATTACCCTCCCCTTTGGAGTAACCAGGGAAAGTGGCTTTTGCCCTGAACCCCTAAAAAGCATCATACCTCTCAACTGAAAATGTCGAATGTTTAGTAGGCAGACATAATTCTAGCCCAATATGCCCATTTCAGCTAAGGCAAGGAGAATGGAAGAGTGAGTGCCTAGCCATGGCCTGCCTCCTTCTGTGTCCAAATGCAGAAATCACAGTCTCCTTGAAGATGTGGGGAACAGAGTTCTAGAACTTGGCTGTCTAAAGATATCCCTGCAACATGGGTCATGCTAGGGAACTGTGGCTCAGGTTAAACCATTACACAAACACACAAATGAGATCGTCCCTGCCCTCAAGGAGTTTATATTCTAAAAGGAATGGTGGCCAAGGAAGGACACTTTTTCTTAGTCAGTTACAGGACTGCAAGGGGAGCTGTTAGCCAGAGCTCATTTTCATTGAGGTAAGAAGTATGTGGGTGGGGGGTGAGTATGGCGTGTCAGAGAGCCAACAGTCCCTGAAGGACATCCCTATGGTGAGTAGGATAAACCATGTCCTATCCTGGATGGGATGTGAAGTCTCGGCCTGGCTAAATCCCTTTTTTCACTCACTCAGCACCAAACAGGATAGGTCATCCTAGAAGAGAGTGCTTAAGCCGAGTGGCTGAATGGAGAGGAATGATCTTTGAAGGTCCAAGTGAAAAGGTCATTGATCTTGACTGGGAGTGTGCAGTGGCAGTGCAGGTAGCAAGATGCCTCCTCATGCAGCATTTAGCCTGAATAAAAGCATGTTAAGATGTTTCAGCATTGGTGGTATGTGGAGAGAAATGCATGATAAATAGCAGTGTAAAAAGCAGTTGTTCTGAATGTTACATACTTCATCTATGGGATTTCTCTAGGTGAGGTTGCAATAAAGCAGTCAGACTCCAAAGCCTTCCATTCATGGTCTCAGGATGTAGTAAGATCTGAAAGTAGCCAAAGACTGGTCTCGTGTATGTAATTAAACTTTAAAGCTGTCATTCAGAGACCTCTTCAAGATTCTAGGTTTCTTTTCCCTTTAACATCTAATGGTGACTTTAGGAGCCAGAGTGAGCTCATGGATCACTGAAAGGATATGGATCCAAAAGGAATTTGGAGATTCAATTTAAAAGAATAAATGAACGTTATAAAGCAGAAAAGAGGGACAGAATTATATTTGGGATTTTTAAACGTAGTAGTTGGTTTCCTTTTCTGGAGTGCAATGAAATGTTCTCAATTATATGTTCACATAATTAGATAATGTGGTTACTGACTTGCTACAAAATAGTAACTTACCCTTTACTTTTTGCAAAACTTTTACCAGTGATGGGATAAGAGTTACCAGCATGCAATTGTGTGTGAACTGAGTTGATGCAACATGTTAAATAAGCGTGCCTTCACATGCTCAGGAACGCGGGCTCACATACGAACACATGTATACACAATCAGATACATATTCCAGCCACTTATTTGTATAGTAGCCTATGTAGAAACTGGATTCCCAAAGGCTTTTAGGGTAAGTCAAACTCAATTGGAATATTAAGCACTTATTGAATTGTTCCAAAATGTCTGTAAGGTAGGAAGCCTAGTTCAACACTCAGAACTGCTCTCCATTGCCTCTGGCCACCAGAGGAGTGGACATAAGTGAATGGCAAGCTATGACATTTCAGGAACTGCTTTCAATTTAATTACCTTTACAAAAATAAGGTGATGCCTCCTAACACTGAAAATCAGAAATTTTGTTTTACAATTCACAATAAAGATATAGATTCACAAGAGGAAAATTCTTACTTTCAGTCACATTCAGAGGCAATCTAAGATCCAGTTCTCTAGTTAGAAGTCTTCCATTTCTTCTCTCTCTCTCTCTCTCTCTCTCTCTCTCTCTCTCTCTCTCTCTCTCTCTCTCTCTCTCTCTCTCTCTCTCCCTCCTTTCTCCTTTGTTTATAAAAATCTTTTGGAATGAAATGCATTGGCAGTGCAAAAAAAAAAGTCCATTAAAAACAATTAATTGAATTAAGCATTCAGAAAATCCCTTGCAAAAGGTTATCTACAAGCACAAGACTCCACTGTCATGTTAGGATACACTTTCAGCACCACATTCTTATTTTCATCGAAGAATAAGATACTGAGAGAAGACATCTTTTCTGGCACACAGCAAGGCTCCGGGATCCCCGGGATGACCCCCACAGCTCTCACTATGCTCTGGATGGTGGCATGATTGGATGGTTTCAGAGACTGCAAAGAAAAATGGCAGGGGGGGAGACATAGACATAGGTTAGGTAGAATCACATTATAGTATAACTTTGATTAGCCAGAATCATCAAATAAATCCACTATTAGGAGAGAGAGGTAAGCTGTGAGATATTAGATACTGGGCATCTGATCATCAAATTTCCAGTATATGACCTAAGGTCATCATACACCAGGCTGATCTTTTATAACCCCTTATACTTATGTCTATAATATAGTTTATAATGATGATCCTAGAACAACATAAGAGCCTGTGATCAAAGAAACATCAAATTATGTTTTATATACTATACTTACCAAAGTTGGAAACAGGTCTAATGCTTTTTAGGAGAGTTATTATTTTTAAAAGAAGTACTGAATCAAGAAGAGTTTATACTTATGCTTAAATGGATTAGAAAATAGTGCAGTTAGGCCCCAAACACCTCAGGTGCAAATCCACAATCCTTCTGGCATTCACAGGGCAATGCCATTGCTCTGAGTTAAAGCTCCTCCCCTATCTTTATTCATCTAAATTATCGCCCGTTGTCCAACTCCACCCACTCCTTCCGCCATGTCCACTGGGATTCCTTTTCTGCTATGAAAAACTACTTTTTATTCTGGAATTCTTCCTCTCATTCTCCTATTACTTAGCCTCCCAGAGATCTGGCTTTCTTTAGAGAACACTTCATCACTGGCCATACTTCTAGCAATGGTTGTATCTTTGCTCATATTCCCCATCACAGTGGTCATGGAGGGAGAGTTGGAGTACTCATTATTCCTCACTGCCACTTCCAAACTCTCCCTTTGCCACTGTTACTTGGCGAAGTTCTCTTTGCCCTTAACATTTTCTTAGGCCATTGCCTTTGCGCTGACTTCACTTTTCTCCTTTTCCAGTCTCAATCCTATAGTTAACCAATTCAACTCACATTGTCCTCCACTCTGGAGTTCCTTGCCAGTGACAACCCTAGGTCCGTTGGTATCCTCTGCTCCTTTTCATGTGTTGATGTCATGCAACCAAAGTAACTGGGTACATGAAACTGGGTACATGACAATTTTTGTAATCTAATCTTAACGGGGCCAGTCCTTTTACTCCTCTACGTTTATCTCTCTATCCACTTCTCACTGAAATCACACCAGGCTTTTTCTTCTCTCTTCAAGCCTCCTATACCTGCTGAACAGAGGATCTTGCCTCTTAGTCTGCTAAGAAAATTGAGGCCATTCACCATGAACTCACTATTCTTTCTTTCTTTTCATCTCAAAGCCTTTCTATATCATCCCCTTTCCCTCCTCCTATCTTCTGATTTTCTGTTAAAGAGATGGCCCTTCTGGCCAAGGCCAGTCCCTCAACACATGCCCTTGATCCAATCCCCTCCCTTCTTAATGAGCAGACTGCTCTCTCAAACATTCCACTCTTCTCTCGAATCTTCCATCTCTCCCTATCTACTGGTTTCTTGTCTTCAGCCTTTGCTAAGTTAGTCAGTCAACAAACATTTACCAAGCACCTTTCATGTGCCATGCACTGTTGTAAGCATCGTGGATACAAAGAAAGGCAAACACTCCAATCCTGCCCTCAAAGAACTCACATTCCAATGGGAGTGATAATGTGTAAAAAATCTGTATGCACATAAATTCAGTGCAAATGCAAGTAATCTCAGAGAGAAGGCACACATAGCTGCAGCACCTTTCCTGATCTCCTCTCACTCATAACTGCTAGTCATCTTTCTTCCTACCTTCCCTATATCTATTTTCTATTTATTTTGTATTCCTTCTGTATATATTCTTTCCGTACACACATGCGGTCTTCCCCCAAAAGAATGTAAGCTCTTTGTTGCAGGGATTGTTTCATTTTCATCATTGTTTCTCCAGTACACAATACTGTATTTGGCACAGAGTATGGACTTAATAAATGCTTCCAGGTTATTGACAATACCCTAAGTTTCTCACAAAATTGCGATATAAATTGGGATATAGATGTATATATGTGCATACATACACAGATATGCATATGTACATAAATATAGATGCAATATATACATATAGGGGTATAAGGGTATGTGTGTGTGTGTGTGTGTGTGTGTGGTGTGTGTGCTGGGACCAAAAACCATGGTAATGTACTAGAGATGTGCTCTATCTTTGAGGGTCACCTCCTATTTAAAGGCAGAAGAAACCGAATGAAGTATTGAGTGGTTTTTCATTATGTAGCAATATTACAGAAAGAGCCCCCTGATTTTGGAGTCTGCGAACCTGCTTCTGGTACGTGCAACCCATGTGACCTTGGTCATGTATGTAACCACCTTCCTGGACCTCAGTTTCCTAATGTGATGGGGGGGGGAGGAGAGGTTGGATTAGGTAGTTTCTGAGGTCCCATCCTGCTCTAGACCTCGGATCCTAAATCTAGTTTTACAAAAAGCCACTGAGGGCTAGAGAAAACACTTCACCTTCCGGCCACTGGGTGCCACTGTTGCCCCACAGGTTTAGATTTTGGACCATTGACGTTCATGTGGTTATTACCTCTCAGAAATAATGTAAGCAACAAAATAGAAGGTTATCACATGAATCCCCAAAGTTTGACCGAAGAAGCCCGGGTAAAGTTATTTTCTGGGAAAGAGCCTAACGGGCCTATTATTGCTCGTGTGGAACAGCATGTGGTTTTGTTTAAAATATCCCAGCCAGCTAAGAGCAGAGCTCCCACTGCCCGAGGGCTGGGAATCCAGAAAGGGGAGGTATTGCCAGAGTGATGAGTTGAGCATTCCCTCTTGTATAGTACATGTTGCATATTTTCAGATTGCTACTACTCATAGCAGCTCTTTGAGGGGGCTGGCAAAAAAACCCTTTTAAAAAAATTGTGTTTATTTTAAATGAATTTAGAAGACGAAACATCAGTAGCATGGCCAAAGTCACACAGCAATCTGTTGGTGGTAAAACTGTGGTTACAAGGCTAAGATATACCCTTTCAAGAGGCATTCCCAAACAAATGGCTAGTTTATTTCTTTCTCATAAATTCAAGAGTGTGGAGATACAATAAATTAAAAAAACAAACAAACCCTTAAGGATACTACCAAACAAAGAGAAAAGAAGTTGTATATCATGTACAGGACATGAACATGTTGGCTGTGCCTAATTTTCACCATTTGATCTCATCTGGCATATCACCATGGGAATCTGGAGAAATGTATGTACGTCTATGAATATACGTTAGCCTTCTAACTTGATTCTTAAAGGGTGTGTAATGATAACATGACTATATACTATACATGAACACAAGAAGAATAGGTAAACACACACACACACACACACACACACCCTCCTTCAGCTGTAACAATACCTTTAGTATATACATATGTATTTGCAATCGTATGTGTGTATGTATACACACTAAACTCTCTTGATGTTAACTTTTTTATATTGATTCAAAGAGATTCTTCAAAATGAGTCATCTGAGTTGGCATGCTCTGCAGCCCTCAAACTCACAAGTTTTCTTGTGGTGGCTTTGCATTTTAATATTTTAGTAGCTCCTCTAAGCTTTAACCATTACACAAGATGGTATCCATATAATCGAACAGGACCATTATATTATTTTTTTCTTAAACATAAACCATTTATTTAACAAAAAGGCAAAAACAACAATAATAATAATATCACAGTTAATATAAAGCAAATCAGGAAATCATAATAGTTAACCCATAAACCAGGGTCATACTCTTCCACCATTGCAGAGAGTCTTCAACAGGGAGAATGGGCACATACTTTATAAAAGCTACCAAGGAAACACCTGAGGATGCCCCATATTCTCTGGACCCCTCACAGTTCTGAAAAACAGGCTTCATTGTCTTTCATGGACAATTTGCTCCACACAAAGACCCTTCTATACTAACTACTCCCCTTCTAGTGCTTCAGATCATTTAAAATGGGGCCACCTGGGAGAAATATAAGGTGAAAACCAACTATCCCATTTTGTCTTGCTCTAAAGAAATAATTTGCATTGACAAAAATGATGAATTTCGTGCATGTGACACAAGATAGATATGGAAAATATTCATGGGTGTTTCCTTAGACATTCCTGCTCTTTGGCTTAAATTCAAACTCACAAATCATACAGTCAGAAAATATTAGTAGTCTCTGGTGGGCTTACTGGCATTTAAGCACAAGCCTTGGATTTGTGTTCATCGGTTTTATCAGGATTCCCCCAATGTATCTCAGGTATGTAATGCATGCAAATTCATATTCAGTTTATTTTCTCGGGAGTTGTGTTTTTTTTTTCTTTTTCCTTCTTCTTCTTGGGGCTTCCTCTGGCCATGTCTGCAACTACCAGGAATAATTATGTCATGCACAAAAGAGCAGAGCAGCAATTCGATGACTGGAGACATACCGCTGGTCCACAAGTGTTGTTGTTTGAGTTTTGGTTCTGTCTCTTGTGACTACACATTGTTATGCTGAACCACCAAAACCATGTTTGAGCCCTTAGCAAGCACTTTTGGAAAGTACTTGCTTTCCAGAGAGAATAAGACATCACTTTAGCCTTCACTCTGTCAACACCTTTGACTACTTTGGTAATTTACTCCCTCCTTCCCAGGGGTCAAAAGAGAGAGGGCATCTATAGGACCCAAGCTAGGAACAGGGGAAGTCCCTTGACCTCAATTAAACTTCTTGCATCTCTCCGACCAAGTGATCGTCTAGTCATTTTTGTAACGAACTGAGACATGAATCTAGTGTCTTCATGCTTTTTTGTTTGTTTGTTTCAGGTAGTGTGGTGCAGTGAACAGAGAGTCACCCTCAAAGCCAACAGGACCTGACTCTGAAAGGGAATGGCTGTATGACCCTGGACAAGTCTCAGCCTCACAATGGTCTATACAACTCTCTGAAACTAGAAGTTGCAGAGGTGTTGACCTCCATTGGTAAAGGGAATTTCTCTATCCAGAAGTTCCTTATGGCAATGAAATTCTAAGTTCACAGCTTACTTCTACAGAGCAATATATTTTTTTTTTAACTGGGGCCTAGGGACAAGTCACTTGGCTGGCTATATGCCTTGCTTGGAGGTGAAATTACACATTCTGCTCTTAACTAAGTTAGAAAGGCTACATTTGATAGAAAACTCAGAAAAATCCGAACGCTCTGCACAGGTCAGACTTGCACCTGCCAGGCTTACAATGTCCTTGAGAGATTTGCTGTTCAGTTGAATTTGATTACAGACACATTAGCAGGGGAGAGTATGTCATCAGCTAAAAGCTTTCATTCCTGACCTGGGACACAGGGTTTGGCCTGGCCTCAGTGCTTCATGGTATTCCAGTCCAGCACACATGGGTGTGATAGTTCTGAACCATCTAATTGAAAGCAGGGAAAGGGCAAAGCCTGGAATTTGGAAAAAGCAGAACACAGCTGTTCTGAATTACAGAACAGGTTGTCAACTTTTGCAGATGAAGAGCTCAGCTATGTAAAACCCGAGTCTAACTCACTCGAGGGGCTGGGATGATGCATGCCCCGGGCAGCTTTTGTGTCGGGCTGCAAATGGTTCCATTTTGTACTGAATCGACACAGTCCTAGAGCTTAATGTATCTGTCCAGTCAAAAGCTTTTATTTTTCCTTTTCTCAAAATATGCAACAATATTTCAACACAAAATGTCCTGGCACTCTGCAAGAAATTTTAAGGCAGCATTGTGTACAGACAATAGTAATGCCATTTTATTAATTACTAGTTATAAGGAAGCTTCATAAAGCTTCATTTCCCATCCCCCCAATTACTAGTCCATTAACAAGAGGGGGAAAAAAGAACTGGGAAGTTTGGGAGACAGAACAGAAAGTTTTAAAGGTTAGACTGATCACACACACAAGGTGGTGAGAGATTGAGAATAATCTAACAGCCAAACGTCCACCCTTCACTTGGGCAATGGAAAACCTAAGGCTCCCAGATCTGATGCCTATCCAAGTTTGGACTAAAGTTATTTTGATTTCAATTGTTTCAGCTGATCCGTTTGTGTTTTTCTCCATCTCCAAAGAAACAGTTGCACTTTAGTGGCACATAGGACTGGCTTTAGGTGTGAACTGGATTTCAGACTTTGTGATAGTTCAACATTTAAAGTACGGCATAAATGTAAGGAATGAAGCTCACAGGTTTAAGAGCTGATGGATTTTAGAGACCATTTGGCCAAGCCCAAGGGAAGCTAAGTGACTAGTGGGACATCTGAGTTTCTTCATCTAACACTCTTTCTACCACACCTGGCTATTGTAAATATCCACGCCCCATCCCCACCCCACCTCCACCCTCCATTTAAAAATTCCTTATTTCCCAGTTTCTTATTTCTTCAGTCTTCCTTCTCCTACTTTCTATTCTCCTTAAACCCACACTGGCCACAAATACATTCTCTTCACACACATTTTCGACATTTTCATCTTTCTCTCATCTTCTTTCCCCTCTTTGGCTCACGGCAACCCTAGTGGTAAGGGAGTAAGTGACTGTAGCACCACAGGTCTTGGGGCAGCAAAAGTAGCTCCAGGTAGCAGGAGCGGACCCAGGAGGAGGAAGTGAGGCTGAATACTTAATGATGGATTAAATAGTAAATTGACTGCTGACCCCTGACAGCCAAAATCATGGATCTTTTGGCTACAACCAGGAGAGGGAGAGGAGTTAGCACCTTGGAGTGGGGCTCAGAAAAGATCCCTGGGGTTGTTAGAGACTTTCAGAGTCAGCCACATTAGATCTAAGGCAGTGGGGAACCTTCGGCCTTGAGGCCATGTGTGGCCTTCTAGGTCCTTGGGTGCAGCCTTTTGACTGAGTCCAAGTTTTCAGAAAAAATGCTTTTATTAAGGGGATTTGCTTAGATTCAGTCAAAGGGCCAAACCTGAGGACCTAGAGGGTCACCTGTGGCCTTGAGGGTGTGAGATGGGACTCATAACAACTCTTCCAAAGATGCAAAAAAACCAAAACAAAACAGCAAAATTCAGATTAGTTACTTCACCTCAAAATTAGGGGGTTTGATTTTTCTAATTATATACCTGATTTGAGTATATTTTTTAAGATCACTATATTTTTTAATGGAAATTTAATTTGCAAAAGTCTTCTTCATTAAAAATGCAAATGTGTAGAATGTATATTTTTAGTTTATAAAATATGAAGCAAACTGGGGCCCTTTCCTGGGTAAACTGTCTTTTTGGATGGGCTAAATGCTAACTCTTTTCAGAAATTCCAGAAAGTGAATAAAAGCTCATGCAATTCCCTGGCACTCAGGCTAAATCAGAAAACAAATCCTTAAGGACAGAGTCCTGGAAATCGGCCTCATGTTGGAGGTGTGTATTAGGTTTTATTTCCTAAATATCACAGAATGTGGAATATGCAAATACCATTTTAAAACCCATAAGTCTGAACTTGTCATTTGGGGGGCAAAGGAGATTTTTCAACTCTTGCCTTTTTTTCCATTATCTAATAGGAAAATTTTTATTCAAGTTTTGCATAGAAAATCTATTCCTGGTCTAAATTCCATTTATGGAGCCAACTTCTATTTTACAACTGAGATTAGAATTGTTAAAAGCTGAGGAATGGAGTGTAGATATTGGCTTAACAGAAGGACTTATAACACAATTATATTTTACTGATTACATTTGTGGGGGAAAAGTCCATCAGAATTGTGAGAGTTGGGGGTGGGGAGAACAATAGGAGTTGGCTAGAAATATATTTGTCAGGTACATCACAATGTAATGGTATGATAAAGCAAAACCCATATTGATTTTGGAAAAGACAGATGTCCTCTGACAGGACGAGATGGATTTTGGAAGGTGTTCATAAAGCCATCTTATTTATTTCTTCCTTTACTTTTTGATGGTTGGCAGGGACATAAAATTAAATCAGTTTATAGATGATTTTGAGGGGCCTTTCCTAAATTCTGACCTTTTTGGGAGCCAGTTTTTTTGTTAAGAGACTATCAGAAAAAAAGTTATGTTATGGGGACATTAATCTAACTGCATAACCTTGACTTTTTCCAACCATTCCATTAATACATCCTTATAGATCATCGTCTGACTGTATTTGTGGACAGATGCAAGTTCACACATTACTGATTAGCTTAAGATATACAGTGTTTGGGTTCTACACAAAGAATTTTCCACATTTTTTCTATATTCTTTAAATCAATCCTGACTTCATACTATCTAAATAGACCTTAAAGAGCAAACATTAGTATTTCTTAATGTCACTAATATGGTAAATAAAAGTGGGAGGAGACTCTGTAGATAAAAGGAAAACCCAACTCAAACACCTACGTATTCAATAGGATGGACGAAAATAGAAGGAAGAAGGGAAGTGCCTACCTTTGGCATGGGGAACTGGCATGCTCCAGAACAGTAATATGCATCAAAGGACTTTGGGGAGATAATCCATTCACTCCAACCAATATCTGCAAAATCCACTTTGAGGTATCGCCTGGCACAATTACGGGGTTCAATCCATTGTTTCCTCCTGGCCTTCTTCAAGGTCTGCTCATCAAATTGCAGCATCTCACTTTTCTGGTGTGGGCCCTTTCTCTGCTTCTTCTTACTTTTGCTCTTCTCAGCTGGCTGTATCTGGAGTGTCTTATAAGGCTTCCTCTTCTCCCAGCCTCCATTCTCCTTGTACTGATATTCTGTGCCTGGAAGCTCATTGTTCTGCAGGGGGAGCAGGGGGCTGCTGAGGGATCGCTTCTTCCTCCGCTTTCTGGACAGAGAAGTCCGCATGTGGCTGTTCAGCTTAGCTAGAGCACCAGTGGGAAAATTCCAATGTCCCTGGAGACTTGATACCACACTTTCTGATTCAGAAATGGATGAATCATTGGCATATACTAAGATATAAGGATCAGCGTTGGTCGGCATTCCCTTTGAAAGGGAGCGTCCCTCAAAAGTGATCTTGATACCTATGAAAAACTCACCATTTTCTTTTGCTTTGGTCAGCATTTGAGTGATGTCTTTGGATTGCCAGGCCAACATATCTCTATGAAGCTTAGCTATATTTACCAAAATATGGCCCAAGAACCTAGTTTGGTCGCCATCTGGTGTAAGGCTCCAGGCAGACAAAGAAATCTGTATTTGTTTCCTGTATCCATGATGAGAGCAACCTCTGGGAGATATGCAAGTTGAACTAATGTTTATTAGTTCTCCAATGGAGAAATGCAAGGTTGCAGACAAAATACTTTCAGACTTGGTTAGGGAAGTCAGGTTAAAAATATGTAGTTCTTTGTTTTCCAGGGTCCCTAGGAGGGAAAAAACAAAAGAACAGGAGAAATTGAAAATGCCAGAAAAGATCAAAGCAAGAACTAATTATTATTTCTACTCTCTGAGGGGACATTATAAATGCACTGAGCTAATATTGTAGGGGAAAGAGCTGTGACTACAAGTTACAGTAAAGTTAACTAGCAAAGGCAGACATCCTGACAAAACAGTGCTTTCCCATATCTCCTTGTCTTAGTTGGAAAACAGTAATGACTTACATTTGTATATCACTTTATGATTACAAAGCTCTTTCAAGTACACTTAAGGCTCACAAGAAACCCAATGAGGTAGGTAGTGAAAACTCTTATTATCTACATCTTAAAGATATTTAGTTAGAAGAAAATAAGCAACTCGGCCAGCAGATCCCTAGAAATGGAGTTGGCAGCATTTTATAACTGGGAAAGCAATGGCCTGGAAGGAAACCTGGGTCTAGTTCTAGCCTTCACAGCTAGTTAAACTTGAGCTTAACCTTTCCAGGCCTCCATTTCTTCATCTGTAAAATGTGGGAGCTGAACCACAGAATCAGAAAAGCCCTTAGATTATCTAGTTCTACTTGGAAAAGGAAATCCTTTCCATAAATCCTTGATAAGCCAACCTCTGCTTGAAAGCTACCAACGGTTTTAACTTTGAAACATCTCAGATAAGATGTGATTCTGGTGAAGAAAGCAACTTGACTGGAATCTTATGATATACATCATAGGATTCCAGTCAAGTTTCAGGGCACTAGGGGAAAAGTTCTACATTACAATTGAATGGAAAAAAAAATTCCCACTATTTGAGGGCAGCACCTTGTACTCTTAGAAAGCTCTCATTATTAGGCAATTGTTCTTTTTTCAAATGTCTGTTAATGCAAATATTTCTCCCAATGCTGAAGATGGCAACCTACCTAGGTGTCTCTTCTCGATGTCCTACCATATGTTAATCACATGGAATCCCATCAGTGCATTTTCTTGACATCAATCCTAAATCTGCTCTCTATACCTCTTATGCATTACTTCTATTTTTGCTCTCCTGAGCCTTCCTAACAACTAGAGTTGTCCAAAAAGTACATTGGACAGTCTTGAGAGGCAGAGGGTTCCCTCTTATCTTTAGTTCTTCAAGCAGAGACTGGTATTTCCTAGTGGGAAATTTCCTTTCGTATGTGTATTAGAAATTTCCTTTCGTGTATGTATTAGACCAAATGACTGCTAAAGTACCTTTCGATGCTCAAGTTTTGGGATCTCGTGAAGTATTTGAAAACAGCTATCTTGCCCTTTAGAAATCTTCTGTTCTCTAGGCTAAAGATCCCTAGTTCCTTTAACTGCTTGTTCCTCATATCAAGGTCTCTTGTCTTCTCATTATCCTGGTCATTCAGATTCCAGATCCAAGACTTGAACCTGGGGATTCTGACACCAAGTTCAATACTTTTTTCTATTTTAACAAAATGAATCATATCTTCCCCTATATAGCAGTAAAGAGGGTTAGGGTGAAGAATGAAGATGGGGTAGGTAAGCATAAAAAGTATTTGCCTTTTACTGAGGAAATGAGGTATCCATTTAAATTGTTACTTTTCATTTAATTTTAATATAGTAGTACTTTGCCTCTACTACTTTGAAACTTGGCTGAATTCAGTGACATTCGATTAATATAGTCACTGAGTTGTGTTTCATTTCTCATGTGTTTTAAAACAAAAATAGATCCTCTACATTTCTCACTCTCCAAAGAGAGAATTGGGGGAAACAAAGAGGGCTCAGCATGGTGCAGTTGACTAGCAAACAGCCTGAGGTTTGGACTCTAGAGTTGATTCCCAGATCCATAATCAAACCACTAGGATCCATGCTCTTACATATTTGTTTCAGGAAAACACATGCAACCATGAAATCATGTTCCTGATCAAAAACATATTTTAGTAAAAACAAAACATTTCTCTAAAGATGTGGAAATCTTAAAAATGAGTTCATTGAGTTCCCTAAGCACAAGTGAAGTACGATGGGAAACATGTTTTACTCATTTTTAACAGTGTGTGAAGGAAAAGGAAGAACCTGCCATTGGTGCACATTTGTACAATCCATGACACCAAGATAATATTTAACAGACCTTTATAACAAAGTCATGGCATCAGACTTGTTCCCAATCTTTTGCTTTAATTCATACCATTCATCCTAGTATGTATTTTTATTCAGACCTTTATGCAGGAGATTGAAACTGTTCCAATTTAAAATGGAATAAAGAGAGATTACACTATATGGGAATCTAGCCAATGGTTGGTAAACAAACATATCATTTGAAGGCTATGGGTGCAAGATCTTTAATGTCCCAATTAATTCTCTTTCTTTTTCTTTCAAAAATGTTTCTCCCCTAAGAATTCCTCAGGAGGAATCTTCTGGCAAGGTGGAAGACTCAGACTTGCTCCTTATTCCAGCCCCTTACAGAATAAAGATATATGCCAAGTGAAATAAAAGAACAGCAATTAAAAGAGAAGAAATAAAAGTAACTTGGCAAGGTACCAAACTGTTCAAATATCAGACAGGACCACACTATCAACTTAATTCCCCATTGCATGCTCTACCTGCCTGCCTTCACACTCCAGATTTCACAATATCCATTCTTAATGGTGGCAGCAGTGACTCTAGAGAAAGGAGAACATCCGGGAAGAAAGGAAGGAAACAAGTATTGCCCCCTATTTGCCAGATAGTGTGCTAAGTGCTGGGGATACACATACTAACAAAAAGAAAACTATTCCCTGCCCTCCTGGAGCTTTTATTCTAATGGAGAAAGAAAATACAAAAAGGAACCGAAAAGCTGGTTGGAGAGTGGGGAGGAAGTTCCCAGGGAGGGGGCTTGGTTTTGAAGTTTAGAAACCAGGAACAAGGCTGGATGGAGAATGAAGGCTGGCCTAGGCCCTTCCACAAAATGGAGACTTCAGGAGGAAATCACCAGTGATTTCCAGGGGGAAAGCCTTACAGAGGGCCTTCCAAGTTAAGAAGATGGCAGGGGTGACTGCGTATTCCAGGATGAGGAGGCCTCAGATCCTGAGGGAGGTTCTAGAGTGAGCTGTGAGAGTTTGGAAGTCCAGGAGCCAGGAACATGGCTGGGAGAAGATTGATGCAGCTCTAACTAGCAGAACAATGTCTTTTGTGACCTAGTGAAGTCTCTATCTTGGCAGTAACTCAACCACACTCTTCAGTCCCTCAACAAGTTCAGGTTCTATGTACCCACAGGAAACAGCAAAACAGTGCAAACTTTGGAGGAAAGAACAAAGGAAAAATTATAATGCAATGAGCAAATAAAATGGGGTAAGAGAGCCCTAGGATAAAACTATTAAAATTGTGTAACTCAGCAATAATTACAAATAGAGCCTTCAAAAAGAGAACAGAAAGGCTATTAGAGCCAGAGAGTGGTTTAAAGGACAAATAAAATTACCATTAGAGAGAAGCTGGGGAACTTTCACAAAGTTAAAAATTCACAGTGAATATCCTAGGGGAGTGGGGTGGGAAGGAAGGATGTCATAAAAAGCACTAAAAAATTCAATGATATATTACAGCAAATCCAAAAGATAAGATTTTAGAATAACATATAAAAATTAATTATCAAAAACAATTGATCTAGAAAATAGGACATATAGATAAAAATCTAAGAATCATCAAGTTCCTGGAGAAGAATGAAAAAACAAAAAATCCTATCAGTCCTATTTCAAGAAATCATAAAAGAAAATCATCAAGAAGTACTCAAACTAGAGGGCAAAGCATAGATGGACTTCACAGGCCATCCCCAGAGAGAAACTCTAAGTATGATATATCCAACAATGTTCTTACCAAGCTTCAACCTGTAAAGGTAAAGAAAAAATAAATGGTGCAAGTGTGTTTGAAGAGATAGATAGCATACCGAGAAATCCGGTCATTATAATGCAGAACAACACATCAGCTATAAGAAAGGAAAGAATAAACTGGAACATGATATACTTAATGGGAAAGGAAAAAATGCTTTCAATGTTGGAGAAAACAAAACTGGGTAGAGACCAATAAGACAAATGCAATAGATAAAAGCAACAACAACGACAACAACAAAGAAATGCATTCAAACATCTGAAAAGATATCCAGTGCTTATGTTCCAAAAAGGGGGGAAGAGATTTATTGTGCTTTCAGATTCCAGTCATTTCTAAGGGACAATGAAAGAATGAGACAAGCTATGATCCTGGGAGTTCAAAATACTAAAAGAAAAAGAAAAAAAATACATATTAAGGAGGGAAAAAGGAGAGAGGTAAAAACATGATTATTTATTGAAATTGGAGTGTCACAGTTAAAGATTAGTCAAACACAGAGGTGGGGGGGTTTGAAAAAAGTGGGGAACTTCAGAAGTTCCTTAATTAACTTGATGAAATTATAAGACAGCTACAGCATCAGTCATGGTAGCCTTAAGAAGCAGGAGCAAGCTCTTCAGAAGGAATCATCTCTTGCAATTGTGAAAAGAGGCAAACACAGTGAAGAACCTAGCCTTTGAAAGAGAATTATTCTTTACTTTTTCCTTTGTGCCTCTTTTAGAGTGCAGCAATGGGAGGATATGAGGGTGGAGAGAGGAAAAGTGATTGCTCTCTTCACCCCATCTACAAAGTGCCTTACAGAGAAGCAACTTGCCCAATAGGAGAAGATGTGGTATTCAGGAGAGAACTAAGTCCTGGATAGGAGAATTAATTCCTGAATAGGTGCATGACCAGTGAGATGGGAAAAGCAGCAGTTGAACAGAGATACCACGTCCAAGGGAGAGCAGCATATGGATACTATGAAGAGCAAAAAAACACTAGGACCCATGGTAACAGAGGTGTGGGTTACCTTGGCCATATATGTTTTTTATATGCATGGCTCCATACCCATGCTCATCTCTACACTTGCACCTCCTCTTTGCACTGTATTTGTGGAGGAAGGTGCTTATGTTTGGTGGGGGTCGGAGGAGAGGAGGAGGAATGTTTTACTAGTACTATTCACACTATGCAATTTCAGTAAA